TTAGTTACTGTGACTTTTTATTCTTAGGAATTCATTATGTTAAATGTAATATTTATTTAAAATGTGAAATATATTTTTTAATATTTTGTGTTTAAGCCAAACAAAATAAAAAAAATTAGGAATTGTGTATGTGTCATTTTCTTGAATCTTTTTTTCGTAGTTAATTCTCTCTTTTGTTCTCTTTTATGTTATTTTAAAATTTTACATTTTTTCCCAATATAAGTTGTCCCAAAAATAATTGGATATCTAAACCTAAGTATAATGATGATGATGATAATAATAATAATAATAACAACAATAAAAATAATTAAAACATGTGATGATTAGTCATGACGAGGACAAGTAATAGTAATTGTGGATGATAATTTATAATAGTGTTGGCTAACTATATAGTCATGAATACTAACCATTAATAGCAATCCGAGTTATACATTGCCAAAAAATTATACTAAGAATATAATTTATAAATTACAAATAAGCATAAAAGAACGATTAGATTTAAAGTTTACATAAATATATATAAGTTATACTAAGAAAATCTCAAATAAAAAAGAAAAAAATGATCACAAGTTTACATTTAAGTACTTCTAATATTACCCAATTCTTATTAGTTATTATCTTCCCTTTTTCTCTATAAAATTTATTTTTAATTTTTAACTTTTTGAAGTTCACATATATTGATTTCTTAATAAATTTCATATTTAATCTAAATATTTTTCATAATCTCTCTTCTATAAAATTATGTGATTAACAAAAAATTCTTTTTATTAAAGTAATTATTGATATTAATATGTAATTTTATTTTATCTTTTTTATAACCGCGCGAAGCGCGGCTAAGTACACTAGTATTAAAAAATTTCCTAACCAAAAAGAGAGAGAGAGATAGACTTTTCAGTAGGGGCAGAGGGAGAGTATTAGCTATCGATTCGGACAAATCAAGTAGTTATATTGCTTAGATCATATATTTGTGTTAGAAATTTCATTAAATAGTAGGTTTGGTGACAAATTCAAAATACACATTAGCTTTAAATCTTAACTAAACCGTTTATGATATTATTTTCCACTCTATTTTTCTTGCATTATCAAAAATAGTCTAACTATACTAATTATCTAAGGTTCCAAGCAAATATACTACTTCCATTATAATTTTAAGTTAAATTTATGTAAATCCAAAAATCACAAGAACTATGGTGAACTGGAAGACAAATAGGAATGCTAGCAAGCTTAACATGTTATTTATGTCACGTATGAATAATTTTTGAAAATCAAACGCTTGACGAAAGAAATTTAACCACCTAGTAAGTTGTCATTTCAATACTAAAAATAATTGAACGATACTCCTCTATTCTAATTATATATTGTGTCGTTTGTTTATATAAAATTAAAATAAGAGATCCCTTTTTTCAATTTTGTGATTTTATGTCGATAAAAATCATTTTAAAAAAGAAGTAAAATAAAATTGTAAAAGAGAAGATATCCAAGACAATGTATATATATAATGAGATAAAAAAAGTACTAAATATTTTCTATATTAAGTATTTCCTGAATCCTGTGCGTCAAGTTGTTTGTTTTAATTTTATCTTTTTAGTAAAAATAAATTGCCACACGACATATTCAAGAGTACTATGTAAAAATTTTGATACGTCCTATATAAAAGTGTTCTTTATTTTGAAGTGCCGAAATCACACATATTTTCATCTTAAACAAGCCAAATAAAAAATTAAAACAAAAAGAAGCTTTTATTAACAAAAAAATAGATGTTCTTTCCAAAAGAATTTTTAAAAAGAAATTGGAAGCGAAACCATGTTGTCCATCATTTTGATGGACCTTAAAAGTAAGAACAATCGATCCAACCTACCACTATATAGACACTTCACTAAGAAATATTTCAATAATTTTAAAATCTAATTTGAAACGTTCAAGTAAATATTCACAAGATATTACTACTTGCTAATAAAGTCTCGAATCAACCAGCAAAATATCCTAATAAATAATAGTGACAATTACCAAAATTTTGGACTTCAATCCAAAATCACTGTCATTTTATACAAATATTTCGGGTATATTTGTACAAGAAAATTAGTGGATCATTTTTCTTTTTAAACACACACAAAAAAATAATTTCACTAATACAGCTTTAGAAATTTTCAAATAAATAACGACCCGACATAAAATAATAAAATAACTATTTTTGATAAGACGATCGGATTTAAACCCAAACATAATGTTTTATGTTTTAAAAATTCACTTAATAGTTTTGCTCATTAGTCATCAGTAAATATATAATATATAACTTCTTCTAGTTGACAAATATCAAGGTCACCGCAATGAATATTCAAACCATCATAATACCGACCTCGATGTTCAATTGAAAAAATCATACATACAATTCTTTAAAAAAATAAAATCCAAAAAGTAGTTGAATTTAGAAATTTTGACCCAAACAAGGACCAGCCCAGATCCTACTGATAAACTGAACTAAAATAAACTCCTCTGGAACAGTAATAAACACACACAAAAAAAATTTAATAGAACATAGAAGTATGACTTTACATGCGTATAATTACAAATTTAACGGTTGGAATGCAGGAGTTGGCTAAGATAAACAAGGTGATAAGAGAGACCCATTAGTGTGAATATATTGAGTACTGATGAGATTACATTCAACTTCTTTAGCCTCAAACTTAATCTTTCAACTTCTGGTTTTAGTTTTGCTGTTTGCTGCGACAACTCTCGTTGGTTCTCAAGAGGTTCATGAGTTGTTGTTTTGCCTATATCAACACCTGTTGGATCCTTGAATGCATCCACACTTGATGTGCTTGGTTCTACATCGAAAACGTCTCTCCCTTTCCCTTCTTCTTTCTCTAGCTTGATTCTCTCCCTCATCGCCTGTGCAAAATTCGTCAAGTTTTGCTTTATTGTATCACCCCTTTTGAGCGAGGAAAAAAAAAACAGAGCAAGTAAATTCATACCTTGCTGGCTCGAGGCTCCAAGTAGAAACAATTGAACAGAGTCGCGGATAATATGAGTACAAAAATAAGACCTTGGATTGTCTCTCCAATGTTCGCGTAATACGGAGGATTCTGACTCCACATATGGCCTAAAAACGCTGAGGCGATGCCGTAACACACAGTTTTGAAATAAGCAGGGTAAATCTTGCTCTGCGCCATTGCAAATTGCTGCTTCGGCAAAGCTCTTGCCATTACATTACTTGATACGAAAGTCATCCAAAATGAAACCCCATAAGACAATGCAAATCCCATCAAATGAAAGATTCCCATCAAAGATCTAAAGCTCTCGGCTGAGAAGATGTAGGCTGATACATCTGAAAAGAATCTACGACCAACATTATAGTCTCTTATGCCTTCAACTTTAAGAGACTCTGCATCTTCTTTCACTTTCTCTTCAATTAAATCAAGATCTTCCGAAGCATTCTTCAGCAAATGACGCTTCAGTGTATTTGTCGTGTCAACTGCTTTTATTTTAACTTTCTCAGCCGTTTCTTTAGCCCCTTGTTTCACTTCATCCACTTTCTTCCCAACAGTTTCTTTTGCCTTCTCTGTAGCCTCGTGGGCTTTACCAGTCACTTTCTCAAACCCCTCTTTAGCATCTTCTTGAATTTCATGCATCTTTTCAGAAACAGACTCTTTAGTCCCTTCAAGTGCACTTGCTATCTTATGTTTACACTTTCCATAAGCATCACAAACAAGTTCTCTAGCATTTAGCCCATGAAACCCACCAATTTTTTCTTCAACTCCCTCTGCTTTTGCTGATATTTTATCTGAAACTGAAACGTGCTCTGCTTTTGCTTTATGCTCTGTTTCGGGTGGAGAAATTGATACCTTAGTTTGTCCATGATCATTTGGCTCATATTCCACAACTACAACTCTATGACCCTCTTTCACAATAACATCATCTTTCTTCTCCGGATTGGGAGAAAATACCCCTGCTGTAACAAGTGCGGTAAGTACAAGAGAAATGGCGAAAACATTCATCATCTTTTCCAATTAGTTTTTTTCTTTTTAGTAAAAAAAGAATGGATAAGTGAAGAGGGAAAAATGGGGATTTGAATAAAAGGAAATGCCCACGTTAGTCGGTGATGGTGGATGGAGATGAATACGTGTACGTCTTGCATGGGGTTCTTGGAATACTACGTGTCACTTTCTCATCTTTCCTCTAAAATTATAACAGCTGCCATTAACTGTAATATTTATGTTCTGGAATGTTCCCTCTGAACAAGGATGATATATACCCTTCTCATTAATTTTTATTAGGAAAAGGAAATTGATTCTTTTATGTCATTAATATTAAAGAAAAAGGTCCATTTGTGCCTGGACATGTGTTAAATAACGATTGATAATTATTAATTTGATACAATCTTCCAGAAATAACGAATAATATGATAGTATTATTATAATTATTTCTTGATTTTCAAATTAAATAAATTTTTTTAATATAGTGACGTGTTTGACTTACTAAGAACATGACTTCAAACCACGAATAATCAGCAGTAAGCTATTCTCCTTGAATAATCACACAAGAAGGTGGGAAAATCAAAATAGCAATAGGTTATCGCAACATCATTAGAACCGAAGGTTGTAAATTACTTTTACAATCAAGTACAAGAATAACTCAGAAATGTGCATTGTGATGCACTGAGGAGTGTTTCATCCTTAATTTGAGATTTCAAATTTAAATTTTGAGTATGAAGAAATTAATTTAGAAGCATTATTTTTTAAATAAACTTTTACGATATGAAATTTGATTTTAATTGAAGCTCCGATATAGCACTTGTAATAGTCTAAATTCCACAAGTATGCTTTCAAAGTGCTAGATGACTTTGTTGGGGTGCCACTTTGCTAGGTGAGGTATTAACATTACGATAATTAACCTCTAGAATGCACCAATTGGCTACGGTGGAAAAGGTGAGAAGTAAGACCAACAAGTGTGAGTACATTGAGAAATGATGACATTACATTCAACTTCTTCAGCCTCTTACTCAATATCTGAAATTGTGGCCTCACTCTTTTTGCTCCCTATGACAACTCTTGTTGACTATCAAGAGGCTCATCACTTGTTGTTTTCCCTGTTTTAATCCCTTACTGCATCCACGTTTCTTGTACTTGGTTCTATGTCAAATACATCTTTCCCTTTCCCTTGCTCTTTCTCCAATTTCTTTCTCTCCCTCATCAACTGCAAAATTTCAAAGACTAGAACCAAAGAAACAAGCATTTATGCTTAGACACAAATGTATTCTTTCAATTTGGTTTTATCTGACATTTATATCTTTCGGTTGGCATAAATAAAGTAAATAGATATATTTATTTTAGCTTTATTATGCGATGAAATACGTGTATATCTATTTGATTTAATTTTAGACAAATTTGTATTGTGTACTTATATATCTCTAAAATTGAAAGACATATATACAAAGGCAGATCTAGGTGGAAAGATTTAATAGATTTTAGACGAATCCACAAACTTTTTCATAGATTTTATATTTACATTAAAAAAATAAATAAATATAAGTATATTGACATGTGAAACTTCAAACTCATCGCCTTAGCTCTATCTTTACATACATGTCATGTCAGCAAAAATCAAATTAAATAACATAATTATGATTACAACTAATAATGAACATAAACATACTTTCAAATTGAGATTACCAATAAATGAACACTTTTAAATACCTTCATAAATTATGTATATGTCAAAGTCAATGTGAGATATCCATGAGCATGTTGACATGTATAGATATTCACCAAATAAGTTTAAGCGTTTATTTATATATTATTCCATGAAACAAAGAAGGTGAATGAATATAAGTTAGTAAGGACACGGGGGAAAGAGGAGAAGTAAGTGCATACCTTAGATGGTCGAGGTTCCAAGTAGAAAGAATCGAACATAGTCATGGAGAATATAGCCAGAAAAATGAGACCTTCACCCCAACTCGCATAACTCTGGCTCATGTAATGGCCGAGAAACGCCGTAAGACAGTCTTGAAGTAAACAGGGTAAATCTTGCTATGTACCACTGAAAAATGCTGCTTTTGCCAAAACCTTATTTATATATATATATATATATATATATAAATAATTCTTTTAAAGTTAACGGGTGCAATACACTCATCTTCATACAGAGAAAATTTTTATCTACCTAAAAAGATAAGCTAAGTTAATTATATATTACGCAAAAAATTATACTCCCTCCATTTAAATAGAATGTTTTTTTTTTTTCAAGTTTGTTTTAAAAAAAATGTTTCTTTTTTTTCTACACTTTAACTTTAACTTTTCACGTGACATGTTTAAAATCACAGAAGAATATTTTGATATAACTTTAATTTTGAAGCACAAAATTAGAAAAATATTCTTTTTTTTCTTAAACACCGTTCTAAGTCAAACTGAATTTTTTACTTTTTTGACTTCTTCCTTAAAAAATCTTAGATGGAGAAGAATACGTGTACCTGTTATTACACACTGACATAAATGAATAAATAAAGGGGAAAGGTCAAAAATATCTCTTAATTTTAGTTTATTGTTTAGTTTTACTCTCGTTGTTAAAATGAAATTAAACTTATCTCTTTCATTATTAATTTCACCAAATCTATCCCTCGAATCCTCAAAATTGACTCGAATTTTTTTAAACCCTATTCCCTATTTTAACTCGATGACCCGACTCCATTTAGAATAATCCAATCAACCTATTTTACCTATTTTCCCAAATTTTCTTTACCCATTTACCATTATCTCTCTCTTTTTATCTTCTTCTTTTATTGTGCTTTTTTTTTTTGCGCATTATTTTCACTAGTCAACTTGTGTTTTATTATTCACTTTTTGTTCCATTTACTTTAGATGTTTTGTTTTTTAACTTACTGGATTCTTGATGTAGCCATATGCTAAGATCTATTAAAAAGATTCAATTTTTATGTTGTAAAGGTCAATATGATGTGTGTCGTTGGATTTGCTTTGAGATTAACTTAAAAAGAGTTTGTATTTTGCAGGTAACTTAATTTAAATTATTAGTGGTTGTTATTTATTTTTGTGGAACTGAAGGAAAATGAAAGTTCCAAACCATGTAAAGAGAATGTTTTAGTGTGTTGATTGTATGTTGAAAAAAATTTAATTTTTAAGATAAAAACTTCATGTTCACTAAACAGTTAGCTCATTTGCTCTTCTAAATTTTCTACTCTCTACTTTTTGTCTTATTGGTATATTTAAGGAAGAATTTAGCTTTTGATGGAGAAAAAGAGAGAGACTGGGTAAAGGAAATTTGGAAGAATAGATAAAATAAGATTTAGCGGATTATTCTAAATGGGGTTGGGTCTCGGGTTAAAATAGGGAATAGGATTTTTTTTTATTTGGATCAATTTTGAGGATTCTGACAAATGAAGGGTAAATTTTGGTGAAATTAATAATGAGAGGATAAATTTAATTTCATTTTAACAGCGAAGATAAAATCAAACAATAAATCAAAATTGAGGAGTATTTTGGACCCTTTCCCCAAAAATAAATGATTAAGTTCTTACCTCGTCCCCAACAGAGTGCACTTCAGTATATTTGAAAATATTTTAGCTTTTAAGATATTCCTCTTTATCTCTTATAATATCATATATATATCTAAATGTTTTAAATTTTATTTTTTAACAATTTAAATGATTCGATATAAAAAATAAAAAGAGATCGAAAATATTAGTTTCTCATAATTTTGTCAATTGTCTTATAAGTACTATGTTGCCGGTTCGTGACAATAATGATGATATTGATATTTATTCTATTCTTATATTCTAAGCAAGAGAGGCAATTATTTTTACTAGTTACAATACTAATTTCTTGTTTTACAAAATTAATGCAATATATAAAAAATTGAAATAAAATTTTTTAAGACTGAAATTTGAAAATGAATAATGAATAAATAGTAAAGTAATAAAAATATTTTTTTTGCTGAACTCTAATTATTTAAAGTTATTTGAATTATACGATATTATATTATGTTATTAAATATCGTATTTCGAAAAGAATAAGTCAAACATCATAATACTTGGATTTTGATTTATGAAAGAATATAACATGATGAATTTAAATCTTTATTATCAATTAATAATATATAATAATTTTACAAAAATTAAATTAAAAAACCTTTATTATCAATCAATAATATACTATAATTTCATAGAACAAACAAATTACGTAAAACAATTTTTACAATACAAGTCTTATCAAGTGCCATGTTCTCACATGCATGACCCTTTATAATACAAACAATCAAGAGAAACTATATGTACTTAATTAATTAAATAATATGTATCTTGTTATATTTTTTTATAGTGATAAACTTTATTCACCTTTGTTCTTCCACTGAGTAAGTGAAGGAATACTTTGTTCATTCCTAAAGAAATTTGAAGGATCCACCTTAGTCTTCACATGAACCAATCTATCAAAATTATTCTTGAAATACTTTATCCCCCAAACCTTAGCTTGCACATAGCTTGTATATCCCTTTATGTTGTTCACTCCAATATCAAGATCCCTATAGTTGATATAAGCAGCTCTTGGTGACTTAGAAACAAAAGGAGCCATGTAAGAATAAAGTCTTCTTATCCAACTTATATGCCTCTCAGCTACTTCTTCCCCTTCTTCATCCCAATACACCAAATGTTGGATTTTGTATAAATTCCCAGCTCTATGGGGGAACGGTATAGCGGATGGTGAAATCTCATCCATCCTCCCACCATAAGGACTTAAGATCACTTGAGATGATTGAGCTTCATCTTCAAAGAAGAATCTCCATATTCCATCGAGACCTCCCTCTGGGATTGGCTGATACACGTAGTCTGATTTTGCCTTAAAGTAACGCGTTGAGAGTTGAACCCTACTTAGCAAGACATCAAGAGGTCCATCTGTTGGGAACCCTGCAAAGTACAATATAGACTCTATCCAGCTCATCTCAATGCAATCTGCTCTTCTCAACCCTAATTCAGGGAAATTTTCTTGCATGATGGGAAGTAATCGATCAATACCACCAAGGAATATGGAGTTGAATGAAGCTACGATTGT